GGTCCGAGCAGTGGCCCGAGTCCAGCCACGAAGCATGGCACGGTCAATTGGGACATTGTCCATTTTTAAGTATATTTTCCAACGTTTGAAATTAAAACACCATTGCTCATAAATGACTCATGTTCATGTGCTGACCAGTGCAGCTGCTTGAAATTGCAATCACCAACCAGATTCAAAGACCTCAGATGAGAAAGGGTTACAATGGTTACAGAAGGAAACTTTCTCTTGGCCTACGTCCCAGAAGTTTGTGGACTAGCAGAGGGAGCAAACGTGTTGCTTGTGAAGCAACACTTAGCAGTTTAAACCCAAACTGCAGAAACAAGTATAGCCCTCTTCTCATTCAGCCATGTACTGTTTTTTTTCTTTTCTTTAGGCCTACTCCTGTATTTTCCTGTGAAGAGCATAGCCTACTTCACTGATGCATGGGTTTGGAGCACCCAGAGCTACAGCTGCAGCAAATTGTTGTTTTGCAAGATGGAAACCCAGGACGGGCAATGAAGATCCGACATTGAGGGCACTGAGTGGAGCAGCTGCTGCTGCAGCGGCATCGGCAGCAGCAGCAGCAAGTGCTGCTGCAGGCACTGCTGCCATCCTGGAGCGCATGCAGCAGTTGCAACGAGGGGAAGTTCCGGGAGAGTGGAATATGCAGAATGTGCTGCAATCCACCAAGAATGCTGCAGCAGCTGCGATGGAAGCAGCCCATCAACTGGGCAGCTGCTTTCAAGAGGCCAGGCAGTTCATAGCACAGTCGCCTTGGTAATCCTCTTAATCCAGGCAGCATCCTGCAAGTTAGCATGATGTGGGCAACTGCCCCCACTGTTCCTGTATCGTTTGCAGCTAAAGCAAACAAATAGCAGGTTTCTGGTCCGTCAGTAAGCCAAAGACACAACAAAGCAGTTTTGCCTGCAGGCCAACGGCTCGGCCCGAAGGCCCGATTTGTCGGCCATTCCAACATCTTGGCAAAGGCAACAAAGGCGCCGTCTGAGCCAGAGCAGCACGCCCAAGTCGACAACATCCGGCCCCAATTCGGACGAGCTGTCGGTGGAAAAGCTTCTTCTTGATCAGTGCCACAAGCCAAAAGTCACCTTGTATCACATGCGGGAGAGGGTGCCTGCCATGGAGAAAGCTGGCAAGGAAGAGGACCTGGCCCGATTCAAGAATCACTTGGCGGCCCTTCATGCGGCAGAGGCTCTTCGGCCTTCATCCGTCGGCAAACTCGAGGATGACCACATTGGCCAGCATCTTCTCACACTTCAACCCTTCTGGCCAGGCCCGCTGCCATTGGTTACTTGCAAGGGACTGGTGCAAAGAAGGTGTGAGAGATTGACGGCAGGCACGAATAAGAACATTGCTCGTTGCTTTGAGGTTCTGTGGCCCAAGTTGTCCGAAAACCTCTTCAATGCAGAAGAGGCCCGAGTGGCAACCCTGGCAATGAGTCAGGAGGACAAGGTCACATTTGCACACGACATTGTTGTGTCTTACTGTCTGCCGGAGATGATGCAAAACGATGATGTGGCTGGCCTGCAAGAGCTAAGCGAGACAATGCTGCAGAAGTCTGCGGATGAGCCCGAGTTGATGAAAATTGAGAAGGCAAAGCTCATGGTGCAAACGGTCCGAGCAGTGGGTGCTTTGGTGCAGAGCCTGCCGGTGAGAGATGATCAGCTGGAGGCATGGACCAAACGGAAGCACAATCCAGTGCTGTCCATTGCAGCCACCTCCAAGGTGGCGAAGCTCCTTCAGAGCGCCGCCTGGAGGAAAAGGTTGGACCGATTCTGGTTGGGCGCGAGTACCCAGGTGCTGCATGAGCCCGTGGTCCGAGACTGCTTGGAAGCTTTGAAGGGCGGTGATGAAGAGAAGCTGGATGCAGCCTGGGCCGACTTACAAGCCAATTGGGGGGCCTGGTCTCGAGAGTTGAACACTGAGACTCTGGCTTTTTTGGCTGAGGCAGTCCAAAAGCATTTGGCAATCGATTTGCAGAAGCTTCATTCAAGGCTGCTGCATGCAGAAGAGTCTGACCCGGAAGACACTGCAGATGCAAGGGCAGCAGAGCTGGAGTCTTGACTGGTGAATGATGTTTGCAGGCAGTGTCCAAATCATGAAATCCTTATACAGATGACATATAACCAGCTGTCGTTCTAACCTGTCATAAAGAGGTTAAATGAATTTAAATGGTAACCCTTGCAGCTATGCGGGTAAACTGCAGATGTGCAAATGCAAATACCAGTTACAAATGAAGTACTAGGGTCGTGCACAGTGCTTCTTCTCAATCCATGAACAAGGACCCAACGTTTGCTTGAAGAGAAAATTTGTGGGTACCACTGAGGTCCGAGTCTTCAACCTTCGAGAGGGCTGGGCCAGGAAAGTCGCGATCCTGGGTCAGAGCTTTTCTCTAGAAAGAGAGAACTTCCAGTCTACCATCGACAAGCTCAATGTGCGACTGAGAAGTCGCAAAGCACTGGCTTGGCTCGATGCTGCACTGGACCCAGGAAAAGAACTTTCGCCGGAAGATGTGGAGTCTGCTACAGCGGACATTAGCGCAACTTTCCTCGCAAATTGTTCTGTTGCAGTTGGTCTAATTTCACTTAGCCCATTTGTAGGACCTGGGACAGGACACAGGACTTAGACTCTCATGTCCCAGGTCTGGAAGCGGCCTTGACAGGGCAAGTCTTTATTATTCCTATTCTATGGAGATTGAAGTTCATAGCTTTGTCAACTTGATGTCTCATGTTGCAGAGAGCAATTCTGCCTGGGTCATGCCAGGCTGCTTGGACTCCCCGGCCGGTGTTCACATCCCTTCACTCCCATAATAAGCCGACAGCAACTTCCAGGACCCAAATTGCATAGCAAAAGCCATGGACATTCTCATAGAACTTGGAACCCTTAGAGTGCCTCAGAATCCTGAGGATGCAACAATTGACTTGGTTCATCTGCATCAGTTGAAGTGGATACATGGCTGTCGATCTATGCAGACCTACTTCCTATGTGTTCGGGCATACTGCCATCATGGAATGACTCTAGCTAGCGACCTTGGTCCCATTGCACAATAGGTTCAACAGTCAGTCACCAGCACTAGCCACTAGCCAGCCACTAACTACTAGTCAGCCACAACCCAGTTATCACATGTCGCAGTGTTTTAAAATGTGCGTAACGTTTAACGGGACGAGTTTGCATTATCCCGCCAACACAGGACAGTAGGACAGCTCAAGGTTTTTGGGACATCAAAGGCCTCGTCGTAGAGTGTGCATATTGCATTGGAACATCTCAGGCACTTTGCCACGTGGGTATTGCCGGCAAAAGCACCGAGGCCCGAGCCTGGTTGGACCGACTGGTCAATGATCCGGCTCTGGGAATTGCAACGTGCGAGCTGGCAATTGCGGTGGTGAAAGCTATGATGATTCCACAGGATTCAGAGCAGCTGCCGAGGCTTTCAAAGACTCTGACAGGGTTGAAGATTGAACACCATGTGTCGTCCGGGCCCGGTCATGACATCGAAAGCCTCAGTGCCCTGATCAAGTCTTGGGATGACTTGCAAGTGGCATCATATAAAGATCTCGAGGAGGCAGTTGCCCAGGCCCGAGTTTGTCTGCAGACGAGCAGCCATGATGCATTCCGCGTGCAGCTGCAAAGTTCATTCCAGGCCTTCTCGGACCTGAAGCTTCATGCAGGAGGGACCGAGAGCGGCGGAAACTGGAAGGCTGATTTGCCCAGCGGCCCGAGCGGCCCGATGTGGGATGCGCTGTGCACACTTGCAAGGCAGACAGTGCTCAGGGACCGACTCCAACCATTCCACAAGGTCTTGGACAAGCACTTTGCTTCAGTCCAGAAGTCCTTCGCCGAGCTGCAGGAGGCACTGTCGTGGCCAGATCTGCCGGCTGAGGCCCAGGAGGCCCGAGATCTTCTTGCTCAGGGGCCTGAGGTTTTCCAGCTCGCACGGATCACCGGGACCGAGGTCTATTTCATGGAGACCATTCTCTTGGTCCGATCCGACAGGCAGAGGGCCCGATTGAAGAAGCGGCTCGACTCGCTGAAGGAGTTTGATGTGCCTGTGAAGCAGGTGCATCCTTTGATTTCGCAGAAGGTCAATGAAATCCTAGGCGAGGAGTAAGGACTTGAGGCCGACCAGGAGGGCCGACTTCACAGGGCCCGACTGAAGAAACGGAGCGGCACTGTTCTGTTAATGATGGACTTGCGGCCGACCAGGGCCGACCATCTTCACAGGGCCCGACTCAAGAAACGGAGCGGCACTGTTTTGATACTGTTAATGATTAATGTGCCTTGAAAGCAGGTGCATAAGTTCATGCTGGGGGAAGCAATGCTGGGGGAAGCAGAAAAAAAGAGCATCTGCATGAGTTTCAGTAGGTGGTGGCAGAATTTGGGCACAGAAAGTGCAGTGTCTCTCTCTTTCTCTCTCTTTGTCTCTCTCTTCTCCTCTCAAGTTTTTGATCTGCCAGGTGATCGCAAAGCTTCGATGATGCACGCATTTGTCGGCGAAAACAAGGGCCGTGTGTCATGCAGGGATCATGCCGGGGACATGGTTTAGGCTGCCGGTGTCAAGCCGTAGGGTAGGATGTTTATGGGCATGATCATGCCCATGATCATGCCTCATGTAGCCTGTAATAGGTTAGGCAGGAATGTGTCAAGCCTTAACTTAAATATTATAAGTTGCTGACTGTGCATTCATGACAGTTCATAGGATTTGCTTTGCACTGTTCATATCATATGTTGCTGCGTTGATGAATGCATGCTACAGGCTGAGAACGCTCAGCGAGGCTCAGCATGATGATATCCTGCTAGTTGATGCTTCATTCTGCGTGCTGATACTCGGATACTATCGGAAGTCTGTGAGTAGAAAAAGTCTAGCTACAATAACAAAAAAAAGTCGTGGTCACGGCCCGTCACGGCTCGGTTCGTTTGGCGGTCCGGTTCGCCGGTTCGCGGTATTGTGCTAGGGGTTGCACTTGGCCACTGCAGCAGCAACGGCAAAAGCAACCGCCCAGGAGATGCCGGAGGGACTTCCACCATCTTTCAGTGTTGCTGACAAGCGCGATAATTCTATTGTCGGATCCTTGGCCGAGTCGTACATGATCTATGATGACATGTACGACAGAATTCTGGCGGAGGAGGGTGACGAAGGCATCCAGCGCGTGCTGGAGAACTTGCAGCAAGATTCGCTTTCCACGGCGTTCTCCGGCGTAGAAGCCGCTGCAACAGCATCTGGCAGCATCCGAGAAGTCTTCAGCCGGCGCACCGGCGTGGAGCTAGGGCCCGCAAGAGTCCTCCATCAAGTAGAGTGGAACGAGCACTGCGTTAAAGAACTGTTGCCTCTGGCTCGGAAGCATGATACATGCATCTTCAGGAATATCAGGCAGTTCTTCCGCAAGGATCTGCAGCAGAATATTCATGACCTTCTGACCCAGCCACAAATGGCCGTGGAGATTCTAGGCCCACTTTTGGCTGCAGGCAAGGCTATGCAGCTTTGTGGCGACTGCGTCACGCACGGCAAACAGTGCCGCCTGCGGCCGGCTTCCAGGCACATCGCTGGCACCAGCTGCCGTCCGTTTTCCCGCAAGGGATCAGGGTTGCTTACAGCAGACCCAGAGATACTGTTCACGCTTGCATGGATCGGCCTCCGACTAGAGTTGCAGGAGACGGAGATCATCTCGGAGAATGTCCGTAGCCATGGAAGTTCGAGCCTGGCAAAGGCGGCCACTTGTTTGGATTCACAAAGCTCGACGGTGCCGGATGCTGGGCTAGGCCACTTGCTCATCCGCTTCCTGGGTGACAAATATTGGATGGAGCGTGCAGTGTTGGATCCCTGTCTGCTAGGGTTTCCTGTGGCCAGAGAGAGGGAATTCATTGTGTGTCATCACAAAGTTAAATGTCTCGCCACGTTGAGCCCGGTGTCACGGTTCCAGAAGCGCTTTTATCGCGCTTGTGCATGGAGCTGGCACCAGTTCTTCTTCATGCACCTGGACTGTGTACAGGAACGACAGCTCGGCGTAGTGGTAGACGAGCTGCAGGAGGAGCTTCGCTGGGCTCGCAGTCGTCCCACTGCACGATGTCGGAGTCATGAGGAGGAGGAGCTCTGTCACGCAGACTTGTTTCGTGTGTTGCTTGGTGCAGTTATTCATGGGCCTCATTCACATGTGCTTTGTTTTAAACTGATCATTGCCACTATGACTATCATGATCAAAATGTGCTCCAATATCCTGCGGTTGGGACAATTCATCCATCTAACACGCCCCGACAGTCTAGTCAATATGTTACCATATAATATATATATATATATACATATATATATACATACATATATATACATACATATATATATGTATGTATATATATATATATATATATATATATATATATATACACACGTATTTATTTAAATATATACTTACATACATATATACATAATGACATATATATATATATATGTATATGAATATATGTATATATATATATGCATGCATATATTCGTTGCTTTGCTACATCGAGTCATCGAGTGAGTCCGGGTGTTTGTGCTTAGTTGGTTGAAGGCATCTTGCTGCTCTGCCGTTTGCTGCCGGTGTGTCGTTGTGACGTTGTGATGTTGTGTCCTGGTCCTGAACAGTCAGAACCCTGCAATGAACCGTGTCGTATAGATTGCTAATGATTCCTGATGATTCATTGATGTCACTGGGGCCATATCCCGTCAGGAGCATGACAAATCCATGAACTCCGTTGAGGTCTCGAATCTGCAGGATACAGCCGTGTGGGAGAGTTCGTTGTCCGCTATGGAGTGGAGGTTCCTGCAGGAGTATCGCTGTCGCTGGCCTGGGACTGCTTACATGCTGAACCAGGACCCTAGTGCAGGGCACGGGCATCCTGCCAATTCCAAGGCATTGTTCACTCTGACGAGCAGCATGGGGTTGATCTGGACGGACTCCCCGGAGAACGTGCCCCATCGCTGGCTCGCACCGACTGAGGCCTTGGTGTGCCAAGGCTTCCCAGTGGTTCCCTTCCTCCACGACTCCTATTTGACGAAGCCAATCTGCTGTTTTCATGTGGCGAGCCCAGATCGTGGAGGGCGGCACGTATTCCAGCAGGCGGGCAATTCCATGCACGTTGCCGTGATGGCCGTGCTGCAGCTGCACACGCACAGCTGTGTGGAATTGAACAGGCCGTCGCCGCTAATGATGCAGATCAGCGCATCACGGCAAGCTGTTCGTGCCCAGAACAAGCGGAAGATACGCGACAGCCCTGACGGCGACTGCGAAGCGTCTGCTGTGAAGTTTACCGACATTCCTCGCTTCCGACTCCGCTCGAAGAGCCCGGCTCCTTTCAAGCGTAACATAGATAGGACTGCTGTGACGCGCCATGCGGCTGTCTTGCACTTTCTGTCCAAGTGAATCTGATGGGCCTGATGAGTTCTGGGTCCTCAGGAGGGGTCCTGAGGAGGAGGCCGTATGCACTCAGTGTGGTGGCAGCGGTGTGTTCAGTGCTCAGTCGTCTGTCCGTCTCTGGCGGCCGGAGTGACCGGAGTGATGCGGGGAAGCTGCATCGATTGCATCGATTCCATATCGACATACAATTCAATGTAGGCAGCAGCTGAATCTACTGCAATGCTGCACTCTGAAAGCTTGACAGTCCCACTCAGCGACTCGGTCGAGGCTAGTTAACACAGGGCCCTCGCCGCTGTCTCACCCTGTGATAGCAGGATCAGCAAACCAATGCGAGTGACATTTTGGATAGGCAATGCAGCGTAATTCGAGTTGGTGTGAACTGCAAGGCATCATCATCCAACCATCCAACACTCATGAGTCGATCACCATGGGAAAGGCTCTGTCGCTGCGTCTTGCACGACAGCGTGTAGCTATACTGAGTTTATGATGCAGTGATGCAGTGCAACAAACACGTGGCACAGCGGCATGTGTTGCTGCCACCTGATGTGACTATGCAAACTATGCGGGGAAGCGGGGATTGCGAGAGCAAACAAAAAACTTGACACATGTCTGGCAGCTTTGACATGATGTGACATGAGACATCATAACATGATAACCTGACGACTTGCCGCATTGCGCCAGTTATGCCAGCAGTGTCAACAGCATACTTCCCAGACGCCGGATAACTTGTAATATCTGATGAATATGATAAGCATTTCATTACATCGATTGCATGGGCATTGCATGGTTGCTGCTTGCTGCTTGCATGTTTATCGGTGTATCCGCTGTGCAACATTGTGGGCTTAGTCGTCGATAAAGTCGGTACATAATTAACCGCTCGGTACATGCACTCACTTGATCGATCGTATGCAAGGAGGTTGGTCCGTTCTCGCTCCTCGCAGCGCAGCCTCGCATGATGTGCATGATTTGCGCCTAGTGTCTGTCGTGTCTGTCGTGTCTCATGTCGCACGTTTGACGTTTGCCCACGTGTGTCGGTGTTGCACACGATCAACAGTCCACGGCCCGTAGTTGACTAGTTGACACAGACCCGTAGACAGACACACACCTATGCTATACCACGGAAGCGAAGACCTGTGCGGTAAGATATAGCCACACAACATAATTAGCGAGTTTACGCATTGACGCACATGTCTGGATTCGTGAGTCTAGAGTGGGCTTGCTGTCACCTGTCACGAAGTCCACTGGTGTCCTATCGTGGGCCTCGCTGGAACCACTACCGTCGTGTCCGTGTCACAGCCTTGAAATCTCAAGTATCGTGGTGCTCTTGCATATCAATCCGCTCCCTTTGGTCCCTGATCTCATCATGTCGACCACCACTTTCGTCTCCGCCGAGTCCAAGAAAAAGGGCCTGCTGCAAGGCCTTCCCCCGGACCAAGCACACATGGCCGGGACCGAGCTGTACAAGCCCGAGCTCACGCTCGAGGACTTGTTCGGCGAAGACGTCCCGTCAGGATCCGCCCTGCTGGATCAAGTGCTTGCGGTGTACGGCGATGGTCACATCGACGTGCCGTGGTTCGCGCCGGGCGAGAACGGCAAGCAGATGATACGCACAATCGTGCGGAGCCCGCTGAGCCGGGAACTGCAGCTATCCACGGTGGAAGCATACAAGAACCGGATCCTGGCTGAGAGCATCAGTCAGGTCGCCGCAGGCACGTTTGTGTTGACTGGTTTAGTGGATCAACGTACAGTAAGAGCCAGGCATCCATCAGTTTCCATTCTAGTTAACAATCGTGATCAGGCGAACCCGTCTTCAAGTTTCGATCGTCGGCCCGGCAGTGGCCGATAGAGGCCGGAACCTGGAACCACAGGGTGGCGGCGGTCTATGCCGCAGCGGAAGAGGACACGGAGAAAGCCAACCACAACATACAGACGGTGCTCAAGCGAGGGCTCGTGAGTGTGAAAGTGGTACATCCGATGATTCCGCCAGCCATATGGCGGCGATTTATCATCACTCACAACTTATTCCACTCAGGTAGTGGGTCGAACTTTCTTGATTATCTTGAGGATTCGCTGCGCCTTGAGTCGGAGTGGGAACTCACCTGCAGCCAAACCGGCCTACATTCCCAAAGCGCTGCTTACAGAAACGCCTACCGCAACTTTGTCCTGGCCAAGAGTTGCTTGGTTGGCAGAGTTGGCACATATGGTCACAGACCGTCAGAGACACAGACACATTACTACACTGGCCCACTGCTCATGTATGATGTATGAGGAGTACTGAATACACGGCCCGTTTCGATATGGTAATGACTGTTATGCACAAACATGCCCCCAGCCACGTGCACGCGCCGCATGATTGCATTGGCGATGCAAATACATCAGATCGATCAGCCAGCTCGTGCAGTCGATTCGATTGACTAGTCGTTCGAGATCACTGTGCGTGGGGCAGTGTGTCCCAGTGGGCCAGTCGGTGTATTGGCGTATTGGTGTCTTTAGTGTTTCGTCGAAGTCGTTTTTTCGTCTCGATGCAATTCATGTGCGGAAGCACCATAGACCCGGTCTCTATTGATGTCAATATCACACCGTCTGTGTCCGTATAGTTATCAGCACTCGTACATTTCGTACTGTCTGTCTGTCTGTCAGTGGAGTCTGAAGTCTGCACAGCTCGACTGTCGTCGTGACTGGCACGATCGGATTTGCTGTTGCTTGTTGCATATATCAATGCGGCATTGCACCGAGTTTTGAAGCTGTGCAGGCAGACAGTAATGTACCAAGTATATGTGTTAGCGTAACCTGCACACTGAACACACTGAATACAGGATACCGTCGTTAGTCGTGGGTGTGCATGGGCACGGGCTGTCGACATCCGCAGTCTGACCTCAGTCATGTCGGTTCGGTGTCAGTGGAGCTTGGCATGAGTGGTATGACAGTGGTATGACCAGATTTGCAATTGGCATGTGTGTCTGTGTTTGCTGCAAGTCATGCAACCATGCAGTGGGCAGTGGGACAGTGCCGAGCTAAGAGCTAGAGTTGCTTAATACTGACTGAATACTGAATACTGCCATACTGCATACCGTTGACCGTTGTGGGTTTGCTTCATCCTGAGCCAGATAAATATAACGATGCAATGCACTAAACTTGATTTGATTCAGTTCCCTCAGTTGTCCTACAGACCTGCAGACTTTTTGTTATGTGCAAGCCAAGCGTGGCGCTTGAGAGCTGACATCATTGGCATGATTGGTGTTGTTATGTTGCATACAAGTTGCTGCAACTGCTGCATGGACTGCATGGTGCATTCGGTGGCTGCATAGTGATCAATAGTGATGGAACATTGCTAGATGCTGGATGTTTCCGATTTCCGAGCTGCTTACGTGCCGTTGTGGGTTCGCCGCATCCTTATTCATATATATCGCTTCGCTGCTTTGGCTTTTCCTGTATGCAGCGCGCGCCGGCACCGCCGTAGGCCGTAAGTGGCAACCACATAATCCACATTGGTTGTGATCATATCAATTATAAACTTGATGTGCGCCTAATGTGATTGTGCAACATAAATGTCGCGTGGCACTCGACTGGATGCACTACATGCGGCTGGATCCTGACCCGTGTCCGTGTCGTTGTAACACTCCACGGCATTCAGGCGTCCACTTCAAGAACTGGGACGACTTTCGAAAGGCACTTTCTTTGGCGCACAACCTCAAGAAGTTCCACATCTGGGGCAGCTTCGTGCAGTTCTGCAATTGCAGTGTGGATTTCCTCGCGTTGTCGCCGGACGACTCGCCAGCGATCATCGCAACGATGCATCAGATCACACTGCTGCTCATCGGAAACATGTCGAAATTCTACGAGCCCTCGCACATTTCCATGTTTCTCGAGCACTCGCTGAAGTTCTGTGTGGCCTCCTCAGTCGCTGCTGTTATTGCTACAAACTACTACTACAACTACTGAATCAATTACTACTACTACTACTACTACTACTACTACTACGACTACTACTATTTACTATGACTACGACCACTACTACTACCACTACTACTACTACTACTACTGCTACTGCTACTGCTACTGCTACTACTACTACTACTACTACTACTACTACTACTACTACTCCTGCTGCTGCTACTACTACTACTAATACTACTTACTACTACTACTACTACTACTACTACTACTACTACTACTACTACTACTACTACTACTACTACTACTACTACTACTACTATTACTGTTACCACCACCAAGTGACCCAGTGCTAACTACTACTCCTGCTGCCGCTGCTGCTACTGGATACTGGATAATTCTAGTACTGCTGTCTGTCTGAGTGTCTAATAGAGTGCAGTTGAGGTCGTTCTTCCATTCTTCCGTTGCGACTACGCGTACAACTTGGTATGTAATTGACTGTCATTGGTATGTTTGTGTCTGTGTCACCTATCCTCGAGTCCTACTCTATTTCTATCCATCCTGCACATCTGTACCACTTCAGCAGAAAACGTGCCCGGACTGCCTTCTACATCGCTGCTGCTGCATTATAGCCATTATAGCCGTATTGACTGTGATCCTGATGTTTACTGTTCACTCTGCGCTTGAGTCGACGCTTGAGAATTTAAAATGCGTCATTGCACAGGTTCCCAAGGCCACGGCATCGACCGGCCAGCGGCAAACGGCGTGGATTTTCCGGCACTGGGAACAAGATTCACCGAAAATGAATCTGGTGTCGCTGCCCATGATCGAATCGGTGGTTTGGAAGAAGCTCAGGCCCAGCGATTCGTCTACAGAGGATGCCAAGAAGAAAGACGTGTCCATGACCAAGATAGTCAAAGGCGCAGATGCAGTGTCAGACGCAATCAAGAGCCAACTAGGGGTCTTTGGCGTAGCCGAAAAGCAGAAGAAGAAGGCCAATGTCAGCGGCAGCGGGGCTGGCTCAAGTGGCGACGCTGCCATGGCGTCATCGTCATCTGCATCCACAGCGGCAAAGCGCAGTCTCGAGTCAGGCCCAGATGCGGCTAACAGCGACCTGACCGTAATAATATAGTTTAACATCGCTATTTAGCCTGACTGATGTCACGTAGCAGTGTCAAGTTGATCTTCTGTACAGTTTAGTCGCAACCCATCCGAGGCGAGGATGGCGGACCCATGAAATTCCGGAAGGACAAACACGTGCTCCTTACACCGTGGTCGGAGCAGGAGAAGAAGCAGTACCCGAGCTTTGTGTGGCCCCTGGGTGTCAGCGACAGCCCCGCGGACGATTGTGTCAAGCGAACACTCACGTGCACCGACGATTTCTTCGTGGCCATGCGGTTTGTTGAAGATCGCTTGAAGGACACCAGCACCGGTAGGAACCGGTAGTAGCATGTTATGAGTGATGAAGTTATGAACACATGCACATTGCCATTGCCCCGATCCACTGGACCTTGCTCTTTTATGCGGCGTGGATGCACCACATGTTACAGATTGATATACTGGAATCTACTGCTGCATACTCGCAATAGCACTTGCATGTGCAATATACACTTTGCATGAAGTTCGAACACAACTTGCAGGCGTGTCAGTGTTAGTGACTCAATGTTAGTGTGTGTTAGTTTGTGTCTGGACGTGTGCATGTATGCGCATGCCGTGTGTGTGTGTGTTCCGTGTGGTGTGTATGCAGTATACACTCATACAGTGAGGACGCGACGTCAACAAAGATAGACAATAGACAATAGTCTCTCTATACAGTGCATGCATCAATAAATCAGGCATGAGTGAGCTTGAGCATGCAATACATCTGCTTCTTGAAGAAATGGACAAGCGACTCCTGTTGAATTTGACTGTGCACTGTGCACTATGCACTGGCACTGTACAGACTGTATATAATATATATGTAATAATTGTAATAATGTTATACATGTACTATATGCATATGAGCTGTTTGTTGCCTAACTGCCTATCTACTAAATAATCGCAACACACTGTGCTGCATACTGCTGCACAGTGCGCACAGCTGCCTTGCAAGATCATGATCGCTCATTTGCATCAAAGTCACTCCCAGAACCCATTTGATGCTCACATTGCCATCTGGAATCCATGACATCCAAGCCCCCTGAACCAATTGGGCCATTGGGCCCATGAGTCCATGAGCTTTGTTGATTGCAGCTGCTCCTTGCCGTTCATTGCTGTTCTGCCAATCCGGTGGAGATTGGGGCGGCCAGTTGACAATTATGCTCAGCTCGGATCCCGGCACAACTCACAACCATCTTCGACTTAGATGTATTGGACGTAGCTGCGCCGACGCTGCCGAAGCTGTTATCCATTGAATCATCGAATCAGTTCAACTCTCGGAATATATACGTTTGCAGTTCTGTAGCTACTGGCCTGTCCGACTTAACACTAATCATTGAATCATTGAATCATGTCGGACGTGTCGGAATCATATCGTAGTCCTTTGTGCTAGTGATGCTGTGACGTGACATCGAATGTTACTCTTGGCAGGCATGGTTTGTTCGGTACCTGTGAGGCCCAAGAGAAGGAGAAGTCCGAGAAGTCCCGCACCACCATCACACAGGAGAGTCTGGACAACACGTGGAGCTTTTGTGCTGCTTGGATGAGCATGGAAGGATTGAACTAGAAGACTAAAAAGGTATCAACATTTCAAAATGACCAATGCCAATGACCAAGCATTGACCAGGCTTGACAGATTTAGGAACATCACATGCGGCACATGCGGGTGCGGCTGCGACATGTGAAGAATAGAGACGACCTGTGCAACGTTTGCACACATGCCGCACATGCCTCACAGAATCTAACGTGTCACGAGTACTGGTACCCATTCCGGCATATACCGATGTGGATACCCGCGTTCCGACGTTCCGAGCAGAAATATCAGCGAGTGTTGCTGACGCAGTTTCCGGTTAGCCCATGATGGGGATACGGTGAACCACATGCGAGCATACAACCGCACAGAAGTTCTTATTATTATGACAGGTACACTGATGCACCGAATCAGTGATGCAGCATTGCATTGCAGCATCGCCTGCGTTGACTGACTGACATTAACTGATTATGACTGGTGACTGGTTATGGTGCAGCCTCACAGTCCATACTTGAAGTTGCTATGTGTGCATGATCCGGTTGTTGGCTCGCGGAAATGGTTCCACTGTCTGGAAAAGCCCAGTAGTCTAGTAGTAAAGTAGTAAAGTAGTACACTCGGTTTCGGTCTCGGTAGTTTCTGAATGCTGTTTGTGAAGATGTGATGCAGCCCAGGCTGGTCTGTTCCTACAATTCGTGTTCGAGGGACGGGTCTGCCTCAACGGGAAAGACCTGCGATTGTGGTCCGCTGTTCGACCCGAGCTCCAAAACGTCTTCCTGTCCGCCTTTGATTTTGTGCAGTCGTTTGATGAGAAGAAGCCCGGAACAACTGGCAGCAGCAGCAGTGCCAATGGGCGTCAGGGTCCGGTGAACGCTTTTGTGCTTGCGAAGGCACTGCTGGATACATACGTCTCCAAGCCCATTGAAGACGTGGTGATGGACTCTGATGAAGGTGAGGCCATGAAGCGTGTGGCGCACTTCATGTCCGCCCAGTACCACCAGTCAGTGATGCCCCTCAAGGCCTTCCTGAAATCACGTGCGAAGCTACCAATCGGCTTGCACGACGCTGTCAAGAACATCATCATGGAGCGGCCTATCTGAATGAATGCAAACCATGAATCATCAAGACAGCCTCATCATCATCGTCGTGCGTTCTGAATTTGTGCATCGTGGTATGTGCAGCGTGCTAGTGTACCTCTTGTGGTGTAGATATCTGCCTACAATAGCTGGCTGTCAAAATTGTCTCGTCCCACAGCAGTGAGTGGGTATGCTATGCGTTCGGCTTGCATTATTACATTGACTGTTTACATACCACATAGTCACATAGACTCCTATATTTTGTGGTACGGGTACGGGTAGCCGGGGTAGCGCCGTGTGCAATGCATACGTACACGCATAATACATTGTTGCAAGCATAAGCATATGCACATATCCTACACGTATTCACGTATACGCTGTATACATACCTATATATACACACATGTGTGTGTTTCACGTGTGTGTATACAGGTCGGTCCGGTCGGTCATACTTGCGAGTACCTGTGTCGCTGTGCCTGCATGTATCTACACTGTGACACCATCGTAGTTATCGTGCAGTCATGCTCATGTCAGTGTAAATGCGGCCGCTGTCATTGTGCCAGACACTTGTTGACTCTGACATGGGCCGACACGGGCCTGCTCCCATGGACGTCTCACGGCCTGACTGGACTTGTTCATATTACATATTCCAATATTAGAATGTCATCCACGAGTCCGAATTCGTTGTACTAAGTTGTACTATTTGTGCTTCGTGTAGATTCGTGTACTGGCAGTGACAGTGGCAGTCAAACATGCAGTTGTTTGCCATATGACTGCAAGGTTGATGGATTCCCCCGTAAAGCGGTTTGAGCTCGTGGACCTCATGAAGATCATCCAAGCCGGCATTGAGAAGTGTGTTCCTGCAGCGTGGACGACATTCGCTGCAGATGTCGTTGAACTGTACAACATCCGCAATAACTTCGTGGAAGGGGCACAGGAGGCCCTTTCGTTGCATCTGTCATGCCGTCATACCCATGTGCCATGGGCCATTGGCCACAGGCACCCTCGGTGTGGCACGATCTCAACTTATGATATTGTACAGTGCATATGATATGTGACACCTGTACACTGTACACTGAACTTGTACCTTGCTGTCATGACACTTATCAAGTTGATCACACCTTGATTCATTGATGCTGCTGCTTGCGATTATGGTGAGTGTATAGTGTATGTGGACACACCTACACACTAGACACTGACTAGACACAGGCAGATATACATGCATGCATTCATGTAATGTATGTACACACACAAAGGTGTACATCTATGTATACTTATATACCTTATATATGTACACCATGCACCAATATTTATACATGTACACATAACGCATACGTGTGCATTGTGCACATTTACGACATTGATAAAATGAAAACTGCTTACTGGATTCTTGCCGTCTTTCGTCTCTGCTAGTCGCCGCAACACAGCATGTTTTGTGGCTGCAGGTTGGATGTTGATGATGTTGATTCATTGATTCATGTTATTCATGTTGACACAGTGCTGCAGATAGAGACGACCGGATCAGTTAGCATAGAGTTATAGAGTAGAATATACTTGCTTCATGAGTCATGCGCCATGCGTTGAACGTCAGTTGAAGGTTGAGAGCGGCAGGTTGCATGTTGGCATGTCATGACTGGCATGACCTCTGTCCGCCCCTGCAAGCCTAACCCGTAACCGCAGGTATTTCCGGACACCGCCACACTCGAGAGACTTGTGAGCTTAAGGTTTGCTTACATGATGGCCTCATTGCAGAATGCATTGGATTGTGTGTCTGAGCTTGTGATCACGGACGTTCCCTTGCACTGCTTTCGAACCATGGTGTCAGAAGTTGCGAAGTCCAGCTGCAGCGGTGTCGACCTGAAGACATCGAATGTGACCAGTTTGATTGCGTTTGACGTCCTGCTCTCGCCAACGGACTGGGCAGTGCACTGGTCCGATGTGCTTCGAGGCGCGGAAACCGCCAGAATGCTCCTCGCCAAAGTGCAGGAGCACTGTGCTGTGACGGTTCCTTGCGACCTGCAAGGGTCGAAAGACAGGCTCAGCGGCACGAAGGACAAGGAAGACGCGGCCCCGAAGGAACAGCCACAGCCAGCGAACGAACAAAACCAGGACAAGGAAGATGATGTCCAGCAAGACGGTGGACTGGCTTAATTGACACTTGCAGTGTGCAGTGTGCAGTATGTGCACGTGAGTACTGTGAGTACTGCTAATAACATGTGCATATTCACTTAATGCTTTGTGAGGTGATGGAGGCAAGAGCGCCGGAGACAACGTCGGTGCCAAGGAAAAGGGCATTACAAGAGCACTGGTTGACGTCAACACCTTCCTGGGCAAGAACATTGTCGGCGCCTTGGAGAGTGCTGCGGTGCAGAATGAGTTGAAGTTGCTCCGGATGCCGCACGACGGCATCCAGCCCCGTGTGTACAAGCATGTGGAGCTCCTGCTCAATGTCCTGGTGGAGGACATTTACGTGACACACTTCGCCGAGTACGAATCGAACATAGAGATCAGCCTGCAGTCCAACGGCAAGCAGACTGAGTTGAAGGTGCCCCTGCCACTCTCGCCGGATGTACGTTTCCCCTTCATCGGGAAAGTGGTGCACTCTCAGAGCAGGCTTCCCAAGGTGCAGTACATGCACCTCTGCGACGTGCTGGGTGTTTTTCGGCATGACTTGATGTATAAGCATGATGTACAAATATCATGATATCATGATTATCGTGATTCAAGCTTGACAAATTTTGGCATCCTGTTTGGGTGTGTGAGCAAGTGTATGTCAGCATGTCGCAGTTGTTGCTGCATGTCGGTCATGATATGTCATGTCATATCTGTGCCTGCGTACAGTAAACAGTGCACATTCAAATCGTTCAAATATTTCGGGTTGTAATTAGTCGTACCTTCACCAAAAAAGGTGGATCTGGTATTGTCCAAGTGTGTGTATATATTGCATAATTATTACGTATGTTTCACTAGCACCCAACATAACTCATAACTCATATGTGATCATGAAGATAACGTCTGTTGGTCTATTGGCTATTGGAGATCTGATTAGATCTGATGTAATGATGCAGTGTGAACATGGTGAACACGAGTGGACATGATATGAAGTCGTGTGTCCGTGGCAGACGCCGGCAACGACTGTTGGGTTTCAGCTTCGGTTCCATCCTCATATGCCACATGCATATATTTTAAGCTAAGCAGCTAAGGGCTAAGCCTGTGTACTACTGTACTACCTTATCTACTACTGCTAGCACTGCTAGCACACTTAGGACACTCTTTGATTATATCATTATATCTGAGCACTCTCGCTGTCACTCTGGCAAGCTCTGCTTGAGCTTGAGTCTACTGATTACTTTGCCCCCTGGCCCCTCGCCCACCCACCCCCCACATATGCTGCATCAAATTCAAAGTGTGTACCTACAACCTACAACGCATTCTACGTCACACAGGCCACATAGATGTAGTTGCCACATGATTCCAGGACAGGACAGTCTATCTCTTTCTTCGCTCGATCCCGACCCATGCATGTCATGTCCATCCGTTGGTCCATCCATCTCTCGAGTCTCTCTCTCTCTCTCTATCTGTCTTTCTCTCTCTGGATGCCTCTCCCTATTACTCTCACTCTATCTCTCTCTCTCTCTCTTTGGACTGACGCTCGTTGTTCTGTACTATGACTGTGCTGTATACATAGTATACACATGAAACATAGACAGGCTCCAGTTCCCGCGAAGACTTAGGTGTCTTACTACATGGAACAATTGAAGGATCCCCTGACAAGCGACATTTGCATTCCGGCATGGGCCGCAAAATCGGTGCAGAGACAAGACCAGGCCTATTTCGAAGAGAGGACCAACATCTTCACTGCGGCCCTGTGGTTCCAGACTGATGCGGATGCTGCCGCTGCCATGGATGTCGTGGACGAGGACGCGGCTGTGGACGCGGAGAAGAAGGCGGAGAAGTCGCAAAAGAACCAGGAGCAGTTGGACGATGCATGGTCGTGGTCTAAGCTCAAGAGCATGCAGATCATTCTCGTGGATAAGCATAAGCTGCCATCCACGCTGCCACAGAATCACATCCTCCTGGACATCAAGGTTCCAGTGTTGGCACCAATGGGAGATGTCCAGGCACGGCTTGATGACTGCCACCAGAAACAGCAAGCGGCGGTGGAGAAGACGATCCGGGGTTGGATCACACAGAGCGAAAAGGCAGCCGCAAAAGCTCTAGCCAAAAAGCAGAAAGCAGCCAAGAAAAAGGCCAAGAAGGGCCAGAAACCGGCTGAGGCTGCTGACACCGAGGCTGTCCCGGAAGAGGATGCAACAGACGCAGCCCAGGCCTCACAGGCCGTTGAGCTGCTGACAGCCTGGGGTATGGAAATCCCGGAGAAGCCCGCGGATCAGGTCGCAGCGATCAGGAACATGTTGGATCGCGAGGACAAGTTGGAGGAGCTGGTGATCCATGCTACGATGTCCATCAAGAAACCATCCTCGGTTCCATTGGTCCGCCTGGTATCAGAGGATGCGACATCTGCGGGGCGTTCCAGCCGGGCGCGTCTCATGCAGGCGGCTTTGGAACAAGCCCAGATGAAGTCAGGCTCAACTTCAACGGCAGCATCGCCAAGTGCTTCATCCGCGGAGGTGCTGTTCGGGCCCACGGCGGCTGTTCAACATGCGACCACAGAGGGCATAGTCAAACAAAAGGTCAAGAAGAGCAAGATCGCCAAGTCCGACATTGTCACGCAAGTGTTCCTGCTCGGCAAGCACATCTTGAAGTGATGATTTGTCATTGGCGGTGGCTGTTGCTGGTGATATACTGCCATAGCTGCCATACCATACTGACATACTGCGATTGTCGATTGTTGATAACTTAGGATCAGAGTCAGGGACCGTCAGAGACCTACTCCATTGCAATGCAAGGCTTCCGGCTTCCGGCCGGGTTTTGTTGACTAGCAATGTTAATGTAGCTGCAGCAACGTGAGAGTGTCAACTGTTGCGTTGGAGTTCGTGTGCCAGTGTGGCGAGTCTCTGCAGACAGACCAACCGGACCAACCCGGACAGACCGCACAGAAGCGTATCTGTGTCATGCGCATGCGTGCGACAAAAAGCATCGAAGTAGTGGCGAATTGCAATCGGGCTCCCATTATCACATTATCTGGATGCATGTTCACACAGTCGCGCGGTGTGATGACGTGTCACTGTCACTGGCGCAACAACAATGCTTTGATGCATAGGCCCGGACTGCATGGCTGTGCTGTGGCATGAACAGTATGCTATAGGGCTGCTGTAGTATGCTACCATGTACCATGTATGCAATGTTAGCAATGTTGGTGTCACCTGTTTTGAATCAGTCTGGAATGGAATGTCTTGTTGCCAAGAGATGCTCTGTTGCAAGTGTAGCAGCTTCTAGTGTTGCCAGTCAGTCAGCCAGTCAGTTCAGTTCGTCTCATCACCACTACTCTATGTCTCGCAGCTTTCGTGGTTCGAGGGTCATGGGACTCATGGACCGGGACGGTAGTTGTCACAACTCCACAAGTTCACAAGCCATCACTGCATCACACAGTCACACACCCGACGAACGTGAACGACATGCAGAAAAGAAAACTGGTACCTAGCCGGTAGCCGGTAGCGGTAACCAGCCACCAGCCGAGACGCTTCTGAGCAATGCCACCAATACAACAAATTCAGAAGCTTTTCAGCAGCAATGCCGCCAACACTGCCAACACAGCTTGCAACAACTTCAAACATTTCATCATGTCAGCTATCCAAACAGTCAGACAGTCCTTGTTACTTGTTGGTATGTTGGAACAGTTTTGGTCCGTCGTGATTCCCCGGCGCTGGATCTACAGCAGGCATCGCAGCTGAGCTTGCTTTTTGTTTGGAATCGTCGGAGCTTTGGGAGTTAAGGATTGGGGCTTGGAATCTGAAGCTTTCTGCACTTCTGCACTGAATTTCTGTCTCTTAGGGAGGCACCTTGAATTGAAGGGTCTTGAAGCCTTGACCGTGACCGCTTCTGAACCCTCCTTCCGGCTCTCTTAGAAAGGAACCTCATTCAGAGGGTCTATCACCCCCAGGGTCACCCATGCTTGTCACTGTATTCCTGGATGCCTGCTTGTCTCTGCGAACCTCGGCTGCCTGTAACATGGCCTAGGGCCTAGGACTACATGGCTGTGAATGTTACATGATACGACGACAGTTGCAGCATTCCAGTGCTGGACACCGTAGAGTACATAGGAATTGAGAATCCTGAGCCGTCTTGACCGTTGACCGTCTTGAGCATTGAACTTGAGCATTAGAAGCAGCATGCAGCATGCCGATATACCGCAAGCTGCCGTACGCTTTCTCGGGCTAAATTGAATGCAATAACGACTGTCAGTCATGTTGACTTGTAGAAGACCTTCTTACGGCTTTGCCACACATGATATCCTCAGTCACCGTTTTCCTTTGGTTCAGGTGTTGGCCGCCGCTGGCCTGCTCGTCACGGTCGTCACGCTGCAGGCCAGCTGTTCTGTTCTTGTGTCGTTCTCCTGACAGCCTGACGTAGGGGTCCACGAAGGGTTCACTCCAGATTTCTTCATGATTCAATGATTCATGCTGGCTGATGCGGTGCAGTCGGACTGCTTCGAATCGAACTACTTCGGATGAGTGTTTTGGCACGAGCTAGATCCCTTGTTAGATCTCTGGCCTATTCCTCTCTTGTGCGTTGTGCGTCATGGGCTCTGCTGCTTCGTCTATCCAACCGGATTGGTCTGCGATGCCGATGTCTCCCAGCACTTCGACTACATCGAGTCCGGAGAGCCTGCTGCGTCGAAGCCCTGTTAAACATTCTGCCAGGAACAGTAACACAGCTAGTGCAGTACAGTTAATGTACAGGAACAGCCGTCACGCACACGCGACGTGCAGGCTCGAGACCCCAGGACACACCGTGCCCAGGAACAAAAGTGTCCGACAGTCTTTGTGGGTAGGAACCCTTAGTGAAGCCCGTTCTTTAACATGGTAGCGGAGCTGCCTCCAGGAACCTCCTTGGCAGCGATGATGCTACTCGTAGCCATAGGAACCATGATGCTCGGCGCCATGGCAGTTTGCCTCGTTGCCGGATGGAAGCAGATGCGCGCAAATGAGCAGATCACCAAGAAGACGGAGACAGTGCTCAACATGCCCACGCTCAGGATCGCAGTCCGTTCAGGAACAAAGTACCACCGCAGAGGTTGTGGACACCTTCGCAACCACAACGTGACAGCAGGAAACGCGCGAGACTTTGACGCTTGCAGCGATTGCTACCCCGACCGAGTGTTGGTGGAAGAGAGAGAGAAAAGGAACATGAAGTGCTACGGTTTGGCAGCATGTATGGTGCTGCTGGTTGGTTTCGCACTGGGAAGCCTCGCAACTTTGTGCGGGATGATCTTGGTCCCAGGAGCAGGAAGTATGGCGGTGAGACCGTGGCAGGCCCTTGGCAACAACGTGGAGACCAAGGAAGAACTTGCCCTTGGAGACGCCTTACCCTCCAAGGATGTGAGCCGTGGGAGAAAGGAACTCACTTACGTGGAGAGCGACGAGAGCGAGCTCATGGCAGTGTGGTCGAGCAGAAGGAAGCCCAATACGCACCGGAACCGCTACAGGAACTACGACGTGT